GTGACATGTTACCTTTTACAGATCCTGCTGTGAGGTGCCAGCGCTCACCTTACCGCATATGGAGACGCCTACTTTAAGCCTGTTCTGGGGATTCTGCTCTGGGGCTGGGAACCTAGAGATTAGGAATTGCAGCACTTAATGTCAGAGGTAGCATTCTTCCTCCTGAAGCTGTAGCTGTGTCTGAAAGCCTGCACACATCAGAATTCTAGGTCTGTTTCTGTTGTGCGTTGGGCAAAGTTACCAGTATGGAACTAGGAAATATCTAGTGGTTGACTACTATATGGCAAGTAAACATATCCTTACTCTTCTGCTGAAAGATTGCTGCTCTTCCCAGCAGCACCAGCGCGATGCAACTCCTGGGGTGACGCACCTCTCAGAATGAGGAATTCAGAACTAGCCTGTCTATGGCACAGTAGTGGTAAAAATGCTGATGTGGAACAATATCTTTGTATGTTCAGTTGCTGAGCTGCCGCCTTTGTTTGAATCCTTTGTTTCACTTTCTGCTGTCCCTCCTCCCCTACCAAAATGAAACTTAAAAGCTATCATTAGAGTTCAGGTTATTTGGAGGTCAAATTGTTACTGAAATCGTTTTGAACGTGAACATGGCTCTACTGGATCAGAGGGAGCGGTTGTGCAGCACTGTCCTCTTTCTGTACTATTACTACATAACACAATAAGCCTGTATGTCTTTCCTACTAGACTCTAGTTATTGCCTGTGAGACAAGTATTAAAGGAGTAGTAACCTTTGTTTCTCCCTGTGAACTGAGAACGCAGAGGAGCGATCTGTTTAGCTTCTGCTAGCTGCCTTCTCCCTAGGCCGTGGGTTCTTGAGAGCACGCAGTCCACATAGATATCCCAGAAGAGCTGAGCCAGGTCCCAGAACAGAGCCCCATGTTTCAAGTTCTCTGATGATTTCAGGAAGATCATGAAGTCCCAAAAGCCACTGACAGAGTCAGAAATGCGAGGCTTCCTCATCTCCAGTAAGACAGCTGAGGAGGATTCCCAACACTGGGGGTCTGCTCGCCCAAGAGCTAGTGGATCAATTTGGCTATGGCAGAGGAAAGGTGCCACACAGAATGCTCCCATGATTAGCAGAGAGCAGGTGAGTCTCATGTTGCAGATGATTCTTCCTCTGCTCCCAAGGTCTGTTGTGTCACTGAAATGTTACAAAACCAAAAGAAGCTGAAAAACTTCTCACTGTTAGATGCAGGAATAAAGATGGTACCTTACATATAGATAGATATAGAAGGCACTTCAGATGTTGATAATTGCTTTTCTGCTCTTTAAAAATCTGTGTATGCTTTTTTGCATGTACAAATATAAATAATAGTGGAGTTGCATTACTCTGTGCAGCAAAAGTGTGTGTTAAAATTTGTTAATAATCCTCAAATCCATATGATGAACACTCTTATCTCGAACTTGTTCATATTGAAAGGTTTTTGTCTTTCTTGATTTACAGATCCCTAACCTTTTTCAGTAAAAATCTGTTCCTTTTTACAGAGAATTTAAGCCTTTAGGCAGTCTTGCTTTCCACAAAATTTTATGAGCCCTTTAAAATAGTCTGCAGACTTGCAGGGATCTGTGGAGAGCAGGTGGAAAACTATTTGTTGAAAGTGTGTTCTAGTGAATTAATGGTAGGTTGCAAAATCATCCATTGAACAGGAGTGTTTTACCTGCTAAAACACACAACAGCCCTGAAAAGAGGGTATAGCAAAGCCACAGCATAGCAGCTACATTGTACAGCATGTATGCATGCATATAGAATAATTTGGGTTGGAAGGGATCTTTAAAGGTCATCTAGTCAAACCCCTCTGCAATGAGCAGGGACATCTTCAGGTTGCTCGGGGCCCCACCCAACCTGACCCTGAATGTTTCGAGGGATGAGGTATCTACCACCTCTCTGGGCAACCTGTGCTGGTGTTTCACCACCTTCATTGTAAAAAACTTCTTCCTTATATCTAGTCTAAATCTAACCTTTCTTAGTCTAAAACCATTACCCCTTGTCCTATTGTAACAGGTCATACTAAAATGTCTGTCTCCATCTTTCTTAAAGCCCCCTTTAGGTACATGAAGGCTGCTATAAGGTCTCCCCAGAACCTTCTTTTCTCCAGGCTGAACAACCCCAACTCTCTCAGCCTGTCCTCATAGGACAGGTGCTTCAGCCCTCTGATTATCTTTGTGGCACTCCTCTGGACCTGCTCCAACAGGTCCATGTCTTTCCTGTACTGATATATATATAAGTACAGATGTTTATTGCAGATCACTGTAATAATTGTCTGCTATGTTAAAATTGTGAAACTTGATAAGTAGCAGCTACAGTGGGAGAAATCCTGAGAATGATAACCTTTTGGGGACAGGAGGGCCCACCCGTCTCTATCAGACTTCATTTCTAGTATGTGCTTCTACTGTGCATTTTCTAACATTTTTTATCTTTCTAGTATTATATTTCTGATACACATTTCTAATGTGTAACGGGTTTGGGGGTTGTTTATAGTGTACCCCATGGTGTATGGAGAACCTCCCATTTGTGGAAATCAACATCTAAGATTAGCTTTTCGGACAAACAATTCTGTTTAACGTGTGTGCTGATCTGTTAAGTATTGTGCTTTTATGTTTTCAGTTTGATTGTTGGAGGGGAGAGAAGCTACCTTTCTTAATCAGCTTAACTTAGTCAGCTGGCTTATTGCGTAGAAAGCTTCTTCCATGAGAGATTGCACAAGCAATATTTCTCTGCTATGTGAAGAAAAATGTCAAAGGTGGGATAGTGTGTGCAGACAGATTGTATGTGGAAGGTAGCCCAGCCATAGCCAGTGGGTAAGACCAGGGAAGGGTAGGCTGCTTTGTGGAACATCTTTCATTGCAGAGCTAAAGGACTCTTCAGAGATTTCAGTCCTGGCAGTGATGTTCTTACCTAGTCTCCTATCGGGCTACCTGGTCAGGTTCTGGGAGCAGATTGGAGGTATTCAGGCTTTACTCTCCAACTGCTTACAGTCACTTTTCAATCTGAGTTGGGATCTCATTATGAGATTGGCTTGACAGCCTTGGATCTGAACCTCACTTTTAATAAACAGAAGAGGGACAGCACTCTCTTCTCGCACTGCTCTGCCTAGTGGGATGTCACTTATGACAGTGGTGGGGTTGTCCTCATGCTGCTCCCAAGATCTCCAGAAGCATCATTCTTCTGTACCCACTGCACAAGGCAGGTTTTGATTGCTTTCTCAGAAGCAAAACCAAAGACATCCTGTGAGTTACTACTCCATTCTTACTTGTTTGTGCATCAGAGCCTTTCCATTGGGCAGCAGACACCTCTGCGTATATGCTATACAATATGCACATATCTATCTGTTTACCAAGACTTTTCCAAGGGACATAATTAACTTTGTTTATCAAGCTTCTAGTTCTCAAAACAACTTGGCAATCTCAGATATGACCATGGAGAGGGGGGAAGAAAAAACCAAGCACAAAAAAAACACCCCACCAACAACAAATAGTTCAAGCAAAGGAGTAATACTGAAACTGGCTTTTCAGGATGGTTCTGTCACTTGGACAGTGGTCATCTGGTTTGCACTGTTTAACAATTGAACTGGTTGATTTGCTTTCTCTGCCCCCCAGCCCCTTTGGAAACTTTCAAAGTTACAGTACTGGGTAAGACAAGGACAAAGTTTCTGGATTTGTCAGAGGTGTGAGCAGGGAGCTGGCAGGGTGGGTGCTATTTAAGGTGTGGTGTGAACGGCACTCGTCAGAGCCAGTAGCCAAGACCACTAGTCCTTATGGTCTAGTCAAACTCGGACAGCATTTTGCTGTCAGTAGTCTTAAAAGGTTCACGATATTGGAAATGTCAGTTTTCATTAATGTCTTACCTGTGCTTGTGGTGAACGTTTCTATCGAACTCCTTCCCTTGCCCTCCAATCTTTTAGGGTTTTTCTGTCCATAAATTGAAGTTTGTGCGTGCATGCTATTTACACCTTCTGGCTCTGACTCCCCACCCCCCCCAGCAATTTAACCCCCCATTCCACTCCCCGTAATGTGTAGTGCCTTACAACAACAATAATAAAAAAGTTAATTAGCTCATTTGTTATCCCCATTTTACTTAGTTGGAGCTATCAGTTATGACTAGTCACTCGATCCTAG